TATCCAACCGCCCAGACTCCACCTTCGAGAAGTCTAGAATGTCATTGATAACGGTCAACAGAGATGTTGCCGAGCTCTGAATGTTTTCGACATATTCTTGTTGCTCTGCGTCCAATTGCATTCCGCTAAGTAATTCGGCCATCCCTAACACACCAGTGATGGGTGTTCGGATTTCGTGAGACATATTGGCGAGAAATTGACTCTTGAGTCTATTGGCCTCCTTGGCAGCTGCTTCGTTCGCCATCGCCCTTCGCTTTTCTTTGGACTGCTTCTCCAGCGCTTCCTCGCGGACTTTCAGTTCGGTAACGTCCATGATTACACCAATGACCCCTTCGATATACGTATCGTTCTTCGCACCTCCTTCTTGTGGCCTTTTGCCAAACATGGGAAGGAAACGAGTTCGGTACCAACGATCGTCTACTTTAGGTTAGCAAAGCTTGTCGAGATCAAGTTTGGTGCCTATCCTTACCAATGCCGTGTTCCTTGAGGTCTTCGGTAGCTTTTCCGTCAAGCAGTAACTCTATAGGTTCAAGGAATTCAGGGCGTTCTCCGTCTGCCAGTTGCGCTGTCAAGCGATTGAAGACAGTATACATATTCTCTCCAATGAACCACCTCGTTCCATCATGGTTCTCCTCGTGAGTGTTGTTCCAGATCAATGCGCCTTCGAGCATTGTAACCCTTCGTTTGGGGTCAACCGTAAAAATGGTAACATGAGAGTGGGCAATGACGCTAAGAAGTTGTTGTCGTGTGCGTTTCGCGCTCATCTTGGTTTGGATACTTTCGTGGACATCGGTACAGGTTCCTGTGAAACGGATGGTCAGTCCCGAGATTTCAACTTAATCGATCAAAACTTACCAAACCACTTCTCGACTTCCCCGGTTTCTTTGTTACGCTGAGGCAGTGCCCGGCCGAGATACCAACGCCAGTTACCATCTTTACTCTGGCACCGGTATTCCGTCACGTAACTATCGCCCGTATTCAATGAGTGTTGCCATCTCCGGTGTGCTTCAGGAAGATCATCGGGGTGAAAAGCGTTCACCCATGACTTGCCAAGACTGTTCTCTGGAGTGAGCCCTGTGTAGGTGTAAAAGCGAGTATTCCAGAAGTCGACCATGCCATCAGGCGTTGCTGTCCATACCAGTTGAGGCATTGTGTCGCAAATGAGCTTGAAACGCTCTTCATCCCGCTCTTTTATTTGTGTGATCTCTTCTGTCATGACAGTAACGTCCCGTCCAGTAACTACACCGGCGAGAAACTCGCCAGTGGAATCGTCCCGAATAGCCTCACCAAGGACATCGTAAATCCGCTTATTTCTGTTTTCGTCATACATGCCAACACGGAATCCGCTGAAGGGCTTCTCCGTCTTGAGCAACTTGCAAATAGGCATGTCTTCAACCGCAAAGCGCTCCGAGAAGTCCTCAGTGTAAATGTGCCAATACCGCATGAGATCAAAGCCATTAAGAGATGTATCGAGCGGGGCTTCTTTCTCAAAGAGTTTCCGAGCAGCCGTGTTGGGAAAGGTGACACTACCATCTTTCCACATTGCTAAAATGGGCATTTGGGTATTGTTGAGCAGTGCATCTTTCATCAACAGCATTTTTTGCAGAAGAGAAGGCGTACTTGAATGGGTTGCGGCAGAAGGGGGCCCCATTGGTGGGAAAGGGCTAGATGACATAGTGACAATTCCTGGGCTATGAAATGATGGTGAATTCGAATCTCGACTTGACGCAACCGAGGACGGGTTTGAATGAGCAATGGATTTGCGCTCGGCAGCTTCGAGGATACTCGGTCTCGCAATGGGTCGTTTCGTGCTATGAAGAGTGGATGACGGGGATTCCGTGCTGGTAAAGGTGAGTGTGAAGAACGTCTGATGATCTTCGAGTTCCCATATTGTAATAATCATCTTAGCATATACCTGACAATCCGATTCTTTAGGGTTATAGCGGCCATCAAACGCTGTCTTGTTGCCATTTTTGCGGGTGATAACAACTTCCACGATGGAGTCTTGCGTTTTACGCGCGGGTGGGCTTGGTGCCCTCTCGGGGAGAGGCATTGTGCTTGCGGTTGGCGTCTCATCGCCGCCAGACTGTGATGATCGTCGTGGATCCCTTGCTGCAACTCGCACGCCCATTTCATCCACCTGAGAATCGAGGAAAGCCTCCCACGTTGCCCACACAGGCTGTCCATCCTGGAGGATATCAACACCGACTTGAGACAAGGTCTGGCCGCGAAGGCTTTCGATAGTCGGCAGAGTATCCTCTTCATCCGAATCTTCCGTAATGAGTCCTAGCATTCGGCCCATTGCTTCGTTGGCCAGGACGACGGTCTTGAGATTATTAAGAACGAGGGTTGGTACCGGCAAGTACTGCATTGCAGAGAATGCAAGCTGGCCAGGAGATATACTAGGCATGGCTAGGCGAAAGGGGCTTTGCGAAGGTGAGCGCGAAGCATCTCCCAAATCCCTGAGGAAACGTCCCCCGGCAAATGGTCGTGGGGTGGCATCATGGCCCTTGATATCATTGACCAAGTCGAAAGTGGCTCTCGGTCGCACATTGTCAAATGTGGTCGGAACAGGAGCTTGGATTTGATTTTGATGTGATTCGGAGCAAGCCAAGGGAAAGCCGGTGTCGTGCACAGCTGCTGCGGGCCTAATAGCTCGAGTTTGGCTGCTCTCACGAGGTTGTTCGGGAGGGCTCATATCGGTGCTGCGTTATAAGTCATGGAGAGTGAACGCCGTTCCGTGCGAGTTGAGTATTAAAGGATAAACAAATGATGAGGAGCCGAACAACAGAATGGCAAGGGAGAGTAAATATTCAGAGTTGCAAGTTGTGAATGCACTGGTCGTAGGCGAAGGAAGCGATGGCCGGGGCGTCAGCGGTCTCGACCTTGAGACAAGGTCCAAAAGAAAGCAATCAGTGGAGTTGATCTACTTCGAATCGACAAGTGACCAGCGACGGGGAATTGGCATGGCGCAGAGAGGGAAAAGTGCCGTAAAGGTCAGGCAATCCGTGGCTCAAGTCTAGCTAGTCTTGGGACGGCGTCGACGGAGGCGGGATTAGACTTTGAAGGGCGTGTTAAGACGGTTTACTCGTTTGGGTCAGGAACGGGAGGGAGGTTAATGGTAGGGCGAGTTACGAGAAGTTGATGTCTTTGTAAACAAAACAAGTATGATATACCACGTTTTGGTGTGCCTGAACCGGGAAGCCAGTGGACGAACGAGACAGCTCAGCTGAGATGGCAATGTAAACCGTAAAGCTGGAATAGAGATGACAGCTTTAGCAGGATGAGCTGGAAGCCCAGGCTTGAGGTGGAGAAGACCGGCCTTCTACAACAAAAGTCAAGGTTGAATCAGATGTTGGTGTAAGAGAAGATACAGGCAGAGGAAGGGAAAATAAAACATTCGAGGTTTTTCTTGTGCAACAGCGTTGAAAGGAATAGGTATTGATTTTCACTCCAAGCCGCGAAGGAAAGCAGTCGACACCCAAGGACAGGAAGGACCCTGAATTGACACACCTCCCGTCACCTTCCTCCTGTGCCGGGGTACGTGATAGGATAGGCAAGAGCTGGTGCCACCACCAACACAATGAGCGAGCGAGCGAGCGAGGGACAAGCGGGCGGGGTCTCACAACCTTCAGCAGTGGAGGGTTCTTACGGGGGTCTAAAGCCCTGTTGGTAGTCGCTTAGGTCCCCTCTCAGCGCCTCACAGAGGGTCTGGGGGGCAAGGCGTGCGGATCCTCTCCACTGAGAGGTGCTGTAGAGTGGGGCGGTTGAAGCCGGCTGCTCACCTAAGAGAGCGCCGCGGCGTTGTCCAGGGTCGGGATCGCCTCCACAGCCGGGCCCACTTCACCCTCCCTTGTTCTTGAAATGCCGATCGAGCATGAGAATGGCATGGCATGCATGGCTCCAGTCGCAAGCCCTGATTTCTGCGGTGAACAGTTCTTCAACGAAAGACCTTGTCTCGAAATGGGCACAGACTCGATCGCTGAAGATTCATCGTGAACCTCGGAAACGCACAATAACATGCGATCCCGATGCCGCAATGTCAAAATCGATCATCACATCTAAGAGAGCCCAGAATCGTAAACTAGGTCGCTTTAGCTCTGGCGTGTCAGTATACTGTAGAGCTGCTCCTGCTCGCCAACATGGGAGACCCCGGCTAGTCTGTTACATCTTGAGGTTAAGGAAGCACAGTACTGGACAGTACAACAAGCACAACAAGTCCAACTGAATACAAAGACCAACAGCCCAGCCTTATGCAGAGACGGAGCCGAATCGGACAAGATAACCTTACCGTAGCCGATTGCGGTCACGGTTGCACAAAACTCGATGCTATGCGAGCACGTTTCTTCGATCGATCAACAAGCTTCAAACATGTGCCCGAAGACCAATTCAGTCAAGAGAATAAGGCGGCCTAATCTACAGTAAGTACAAGGGCCATCCCGTGGGAATGGTAGCCTCGATCCCCGCAACCACAGGCAGGGCAGGGCAGAAACAGAAACAGACCAGAGTTGATGAAGGTGACGGAAGTCTGTTGATCCGTGTCATCCGCCCGACTTTGGGGCTGCGGAACCACGAGAGTTACCTTTCCACATCGGCCTCCTCCTCTGGAACCCTGACCTCAGATTGGCCATATTGGACATTTTAAACATGATCCTGATCATCATCATGAGGATTTTTGAATTGACCGTTGCAACATAGCGTCTAACCAACGCCCTCCTCCGCAGCCATCCAATTCATTCGCAGACCTACCTACCCTATCACGGGACGAGTTGTTTGTCATTTGCCCACCATCAAAAGCGGGAGCTCCTCGACGCTAGAGATTCCATAATCTCGGCACAATCAATCAATACCTTACCGGTACCCAATGAGACTATTTTCGATCAGACTCAAAACATTGAATCCTTCAAGGCATCACCGCCTCGTCAGTACATATGTTTGCTGTCAACTGATTTGAACAATATGGCATATGGGTCCCTGGCGCACAACGCTTTTGTTACAGTATGTACAACACTATCTCGCCTGATGTGGTTACATTTGCACTCGCATCTCCATCCACGCTGATGCTGGCTTTGGACGAGTTTCCCCACTTCCAAGGGATGGATGTGCTGCACGACACAGGAGATCGCGGGAACCGACGAATGAGGTGTTGCGGCCTTTCAGGCACCACGCAGACACTTTCACTTTTTGCATTTCAATGTTGGGGACACAAAGATGGTGACTATAAAACCGAGTCGTTCCGATTCCAACGGGTTTATAATTACTCATCAAGTTTCACTGCTTGTCCTTGATCAGCTAGCCGTTGAGGGCAACAAATGTGCCTGGTTTAGCAACTGGGCTGGAATCTACTCTGCCAGCTGGCAGCTAATAAAGCGGTTGTGTTACGATGAAATGCACAATTATCCTCCCACAGATGCATTCCGGACAGTTAGCTGCATACTGCCGCCGTCTATTTGTGGTTGTATCGAGTGGTCTGGCCTTGAGTCGATCGGCATCTAGACCTTATGGCCAAGCCCAGAATTGATTCCAGCATGAAAAACTCCGGTGTCATTTGCACATCCGCATTTCAAATCACCAACTTCCATTCACGCAGGAAGATGCAAACACATCAATCTCTTGGCATGCCAACTAAACCCAAGCAGGAACCGCAAAGGCATCTCGCAGATGCATCCTATAGCATTTTCATGCAGGATACCTGACAGTTACTTGCTGCACCCTTCTGCTTGGCTGTTCCTCATCAGCCGCTTCAAGCGTAAGCACTTCTTTTTCCTCCATCTTTTGTTGTTTCACCCGAATGCCTCTGTCCCCAACCCGCCCGGTTTCTGCTAGGGTCTAATTGTTACAAGCTCCGATGGCGTCCAAGCCCGCCTTGCAGATCATCTCCAGTTCCAATCGGCGCCTTTCCGGATTCTGCAAAGTCTCATTAATATCATCTTTTTTTCTCTTGGGAATCTCAATACGATCTTGGTTGACCTGGCCCCTGCGTCTTGGCCTCGCTCCAGAGGAAAAAAAAACCCGCACTTGATATAGCTTGAGACTGTCGCAGACTTAATCCTTAAAGACCAAGACCCAGCGTCTATGAAGTCATTATTGATCGACAACCAAGACACGAGAAACAAGGGTTCAAGACTTTGATTCGCTCTGGTTCGTATTTTTGACCAACCGCTGCGCAATTCTCAAACTAACTATCGTGAATTGTCCTTGATTTTCCCACATGTCGAACAAGTCCACCACTGCTTTTCCATCACCGTCCCACAAAAACTACATTCCCACATCTGCGGTCCCGACGATGCAGCCTCTTGACCTGTGACTCTTGGCCTTGAATTCCGCGATGTTGTGGCAGACTTCTGCCGATCTCGTGGCGGACTCGAAGTCGTCAAGTCAATAACAGCAGGTTGCGATACTGGCGATCTGGATCGGCGGTTGTTCTTAACCTGTTGTGACCTTGGACTCATCTCGGACCGCTCCATCCCACAGGCGTCACAACATAGATAGTTAGCAGGATTGTGCAGAGTACAAGTGCTGCATGTCCAGCCTGGAGGCTCTCTAGACCTCTCCGAACTACCACCAGGTACCCTATGCGGGATTACTGATCCGCCTCCATTTCCAGTTGGGTTGTCCGCCGTGGGAGCGATGTAAGAGTTGCCGTATTCGACAGATTTGTCTTCTTGCACTAGTTCCCACAGGGCTTGAGCTATGGCTGCATCATTAGCCTCGTCTTCTTCGGCCTGTGTTCGAAAACCGTTCTTTGTGGCATTGTCTGAAATGTTGCGAATTTGAGTTTCGCTGAGGTTATCTGTACCGCAACCCTTGAGGATCCTGCTCCGCCGCTCGGCAGCATCCGCAATTACTCTCCGAATATCTTCACCTGGCCGAGGAGCAGAGCCCCCTAGACGTTTGCCTGATCCAGTACCGGGGCGAGCTCGTCGCTTCTCTGCAGCCTCTCGTGCCACTCGACGAGCTTCAAGGGGTGGTATTCTTGAGCCTCCAAGACGCCGCCCCTCTGAGAGGAAGCCTTCTCCAGTGTACCCTTTAAGAACCAGACCCTCGTGCTCATCTCTGAGCTGATCCCAAAGAGCATGAAACTTGGCATCGTGAGGGCCATGGACTATGTGCGACAACTCGTGTAGCATTGTATCGACAACACTTTCGATAGGCATAAACTGGTTTTTATCCCCAGCATGTCGCAAACGAAGACATATCTTGGCTCCTCGGTTGATATTAAGACCTATAAACTACATTTAATATGGTCGATGACCCGGAGAAGTTCATCTGGGGCCTACCTAAAAGATTATGTTGTTCAGGATAGAACTCTGCCAACTCTCGGACTTTCCAGTTGCGCGCTCGCATTATAGGCTTCACAAGGGAAGCTACTTTCTTCAAGGTCTGCAGGGCATCGTTCGCTCTGGGAAGCTTGGCCAAGTGGCTATAAGACAACACGAGTGCATCGTGTTCGGGCATGATGATGTCGTGCTTTTGCAGGGTAAGTTGTGGTGGTTTCACGATCGATGCAGGTGTTTCAGTGCGATAGAGATGGAAGAAATGACTTCATGAGCTAGGTATCATCTAGAATGCAATCTTGATGTAATACAAAAGGATTCATCATATTCAGGAAGTAAATATTTTGCAGAAACCGCTGGAGGTCAATAGGCCACGTAAAGTCTAGGTGCCTTGGGCTTTATTGCCCCTGGGGCAAGTGATTGCATGAGACTTGAACAATTCGCAGTTACAGACGCTGACGCAAGTCGCCTAGAAATTTCCGAGCTTCACTGACGTGACTGACTAATCATCACCACTTACATTCTTACGGCCGGGCATCGTTCTTGAAGATCCTCACAATGATACACCGATATCGGTGGAGCTTTAATACCACTAACAAGATTTCTATCAAGATGGAGAGGCGTTTCATTTTGACGTTTCCCCATGCTACAGTTACCATCAGTCATAGCTCATGGTTCACCACTATTCAGGCTTCCGGGCTACGCCTCTGAGCCTCACATAATGTATCGTTTCCCCACCAGAAGGATTACGGCAGACCTCCCTCAGCACCCCCACGCATTCCTGCACAGCTTCCTCCCTCTCCTTCTCATCTAAGATGGCATCTAAGAACTGACTTGCCATGAGTCTAATCCAACCCTCAACACCGCCTTTGTCAGTTGGTGTTGGCCGCCACTCCCGCTCAGCCCGTTCAACAACGAAGCCTGCGTCTTGCAGCGCCTTTGTGACCCATGCTTCGTCAGGGAAGAACCATGGATCAGCTGCAAGAGCGGCTTCCATACCAATGCGGCGACCAACAGCACTAAGAGCAGCAGTTCGCATTTCAGAAACGTTACCGAAACCGCCCATCTCGAAGACGAATGAACCACCAGGGGCCAGTGAAGCGTAGACACCCTTGAAGAATTGAGCACGAGTATCTTCTGGGCGGAGAATCCAGTGCATAGCTGCATTGGAAAATACCTTGGTAAAAGCTCCTTTTTGTAATTCTGGCTTAGAGACGAGCTGCGTAGCATCCAAGACTACAAATGGTCAGTGAATCAGGGATAAGCAGTTAGGTTGGTTGGCTTACCATCAAAGGTAGCGTTCTGAGAACCTTTGCACAGTTCTCTGGCAGCTTCAATCATGGAAGCCGAGCTATCAACGCCATGCATCGAACCGCTTCCCTGTGCCAAGATCTTTGCGAACTCGGCATTCAAGATGCCGTCTACACGATCAGTCTCAGGTCTATGGTCCAAGTTGAGACTCAAGTACATACCTCCACATCCGATATCAAGTAGGACATCGTCTTTCTGTAAATCAAGCCATTGAACAACTTTTGTTGCTAGCTTGGGGACAAAAGAAGCTGAGTGCTGATAAGCCTGGATTTGGTGTAAGTGTGAAGCTCCCCCAACGACAAAGCATACGCACGTTGGTAGACCATCTATCTTTCTGATCGGCCATCGTTGCGATTGTGAAGAGTGTGAATTATCTGAATGAATCCAAGAGAACGAAACAAGAGGATTTACTGCCTCTTTATACCTGGGTTGCTTACATGGGAATAATCAAGAACGGTGCCTACGGTGCCGGAGCTACCGCCGAGATCGGAGCACTCAAGGTTGGAACCCCAAGAACGTGCATGATAATCGGATATAGAGGTTTAAGGATTGGTGCTGCGTCTTTGCGGACTTGGGCACGGAAATTGTGTCTTTTGTTTCTTATTCGGCGATTATACAAGGTTTTGTTAGAAAATGTGGATTCTGATGCTTACTTGTATCTATACCAGTATAGCATGATCCGAGCTGGACTCGTAAGTCTCATGAGATACTATTTTCCTTCTCCATGTTTGGTACCCCGCGGTGGGGTTACATTGATGGCCTGTCACTTACACGGTTGTGTTTCATTGAGACAAAGGCGTGTCTCGAAAGTAAAACAATGTGCCCTATCAGGTCATGCCTGTGAACCAATGCATACCACGTCGGAGGGCCAAATGAAAAGACCCTGCTCCTGGCGAAGAAAGGTTGTTGGTGGAGGTGTCTCTGAATATGGAGAATGCCAAAATCGGTTATACTGATGGTTTTCTCCATCTTTCTTCTATCCCTATCAGCCAACCTTTTCTCGTCTGATCGTAGTATGAGATACTCTCTGGGAGAGGCAAGAAACTTAGGATCTCTACCGCAAGTAATAAAAAGACTTACGTAAGTTTGGCATATCTTAACGTCAGAAGTCTTCTTTCTCTCCGAGGGCGCCCAATTGCCGATAGTATGGGACTCGCTGTGAGTAGAAACACTGCTATTAGTGATTTGAGTTTTGCGTACCTAGTTCGAGTAATCCTCGGCATGATACGGAAGCGCACCTTGGACCTTGGTGATATACTGACATGCTTCAAGTCTCTTTCATATCGTCACTTGAACAACCAATCACTGTTCACCCCTCAGGCTGTATTGTATTCGTCTGCCACTGTTCATACTCTGGCTGCCACTGTGATGGGTGCGAACAGTCTACGTGCATCTCTAACGCTAGTTAAAATACGTATTTCGTCTTCAAGTTCCATCCAACACAGACAATTTCAGATCTATCCATCTTACAACACCTTGAAATCATCGACGAACTCGATAACCCATTAAATACCAAGCCCCTCGCAGAAAACAAAATAGAGAAAAATAACATAAATCATCGTGTGTCGCGAAGAAGTCGCTTATGCCCCGAATGTTGGGCCACGATCATCCTTGAAATGGAGGCATTGCGGACCTTATATTAACTCAGATCCAAAAGCAGTTCGGAGTAATAGTGATCATTTGATCCAACCTGTCGCATACTTTGTGTCTCACGATCTTGGAGTCGTTCAAGATGTTTGTAGCTCACTAACACCTTAGACTTGTCCGAACGAGAGCTGCTCCAGCAAGGCACCAGTTGGGAGCGGAGAAAGTCCTGAAAGGCGAGCTTTATGAGACAAAAGGTAAATTACGAGAAAATTAAGGAGCCATTGAGTATGCTACCTGCATTCACCTTCATTTTGCTGTTGTGCTTCTCGATCTGTCACATACGACCACAGCTCGTGGAGAATACGGGGTCCCGTCTGCTCCCCCAGAGTCAAGCCGCGAAGCGCCGGATTAGTAGTTGGGTCGGTGACGACCAGCGAATACCTGGTGTTGTATGTTCTTTTGCTTCGCTTATTCGTTATATTTTTGGTGGTTTGAAGCAGTATTGTGGTGGTGGTGAGATTTTGTTGTCTTGCGTCAGTCGCTCATCATTGACAGAAACTCAGAAACAAGAAACCCCCAGAAACAATGATTGAAATAAGAGACAACTTGATACCTTGCCAGACTTCGCTTCCAATCGAATTCAATTCCGTTGTAAATGGTCCAGGCCATGGTTAAGAGCCAGTGGCTACATGTTCTCCAGCGAATCATGTCTTTGTCCTCACATAGCAACTCGCTGCCACTGTCACTGCTACTCATTGTTCAGTGTGCCACTGTTTCTTCAAGTCTCAGCTGTGGACTTTACAGTGTTCGTTGTCCAATAGTTCAGCTCTGTCCTCTCATAGAATGCTAGTTCCCAAACCCTCCCCCTTCCTTACACATGCCCTTCAGGAATCAACCACTTGTCCATACCTGAAACACAGTTGTTATCGCAATACTTCGGAACGAACTCCCGGGAACCACGGAAAATACCACAGAAAATGTGTCAAGAGGTCGTCCAGCAATGCTGCCATTGTGGTGACAACATTGGTATCTATATCAACCCTTGTCACAGCTGGTACGTCGATGCACAAGTGGCTAACCGCGAGCGACGACATATCCCGCCAGCATGGGACTGTGATTTTCGTATGAAACAGTTCCAGCCTATGCTCACAGGCTGTCCCAATAATGACATATGCCTCTCGTGGTTTGGAAACATCCTCCCAGGTTTTGGGAACGCCCGGAATGAGGGTCCCGAGATGAAGTTGGCCCGCGAGTTTGTCGCTCATGAGAAGTTGGAGGAATGGGAGGATCAGTTTGCTCGTGAGTACTTTCAGAAGAAGCCTATTCCTCCTCGCAAGAAGCCCGAGAGTTTTATGTTCTTGATTCGCCAGGATATGATGGGAGACCTTGAATCCGTCACGTCTTTCGACAGTCTCGAGTCTGCAGATACCGATACAGATACAGACTATGGAGAAGGGAGTAATCAACATGGCAATGAAGATAGTTATGATGCTGACAGCGAGAACTCAACTCAAGAAAACGAGGGTTTCAACGATGCCGCCTCCGACGAGACCTCTGAGGTTGACCCCGAAGATATGTTCTACGGCGATGTCATTGACCGTACCCGCGATATGGAACCCAAACCCAGTCGAGCATATCTCGGGCCGGCCGTCTCTATCATGAACTTGTTCTTGTCTATGATGGACCTGGGACGTGATGGCGATTTTGTTGAATAAGAGGAGTTTCTGGGAACGACATTTGGGCGTCCTTTTGAAGGATAGACTTAGGCTTCCCTAGTGGAAGAATGAAGGTACTTACCTGGCATTAGATGTAGAGAATTTGCTGTTTTGGTTATGAGACCATATAGCTTTGTAACTGTAACACAGCAACAAGTTGATACCCCTGATTTCTGCACAGATATCATGGCTTAAGTGAAAGTATTTGTGATGCAAGCTATCTTCCCACTCATGTAAAGTCTGAGTGGCATCCTAAATCAACCATCAACGCTCCTCCTTAGTCGGTAAAATGCAGTCATATTGAAGCAGTATATTGATTAAACACGTCTGTCTATCGAGAAAAACGCCGTTCCATGTGCCAAACCCAACTTTAGGATATTCTTCATCACACTCACGCCGACTTTTTCACCCTCTTGCTCTTCTTCTTCTTCTCGCCAAATGCCTCCTCATACACCTCCGCCGCTGTCTGGCCGCCGGCCTTTCTCTTTTGCTTGGCTGACTTTACACTGACCACGGGATTTGACTTGCCCTGCTTTGTCGCACTCAGTACCTGTTTTTCCGCCTCTTCCCAAGCAGGAGTATCTCCCTCAATCTCATATCTATTTTTTGTTAGCAGATGTCCTTGCATGTGTATCTCAGTGAAGCTTACTGGTCAAGGGGTAAAGAGTCAATGAGCTCTCTTTGCTTCTTCTTGAGCTCCCTCATCGCTTCGTCACCACCCTCCTCAAGTTCGTCGTCCAATGTTGTAGCCAGAGGAACGTAACGCTCATCGACGATCTCATCGTCGTGTGCGCCACTAGCATTCTCGCGACTCACACCAAGACGTTCAACCTTGGGAAGTTCCGCACCCACAGCTTCGGAGACGAGACCGGCGAAGTGTTTAGTAACCTTTCGCATCATCTTAATGAACATGGCAAGGGCTTGAGAGGTGGACATATTGATCTCCTGGGCAACCACATCGATATCTTTGCGCTGCAGACCAAGAGCCAGCATGACGGCCTGCTGGACTCCTGATAAGGTAACATCTCCCTTGATGCGTCCTGTAAAATAGAGTTGGGCGATGGTTGGAACGAGATCGAGAACAACGTGGTAGTCAAGCATGTTGTTGGCATATGACTCGAGTCGCTTCAGGTCGAAAGGGCTCATATAGATATCAAGATCAGCCTTGGTCAATGGTTGAACTTCAACTGAGTCCAGCTGCGCTCCCAACTTGGCGGCCTCGTCGATACTAAGGGCAGTGATAGGAGTGAATGTGCGGAACTGGTAAGACAGGAGGGACAGGAAACGCTTCTGGAAATCTCTAGAGAAAGCGCCGAGCCAGCTTCGGTCCTCACTGTTCTCAAGCGGCCGCAGCATGACACACGTGTGCTCACCAGTCAGATCGTTGGCAGTTTGTCTTAAGTAGACGGGCGCGAACGAGGCCTTCTTCCAGAATTTGTGAAGGGGCTGAGTCAATCCGTAGCTAACACCAACATAGTCGAGTCGCTCGGGTTTCTTCTCTGACAGCTTGGCGAACAAGGGAGGCATCTTATTGATATCCCGAACCTTGATGTCATCGTCGAGCAAGTTGGCGTTAGCGAGCTCAGCATCAGTAACTCGAGTCATTGTCTCCTCCATAATCTGATCCTCATCTTCAGACAGATTGGCGAATCGCCCCTCGTAGTAGTCAACGAGCAGTTCCAAAGCCTTGGAACCGTATCCCATTGAAACATACTCAGGGTTTGTGGCAATACGAACAACTCGGGCACCAGATAGGGAAGCAAATTCCTCATCCTGGAATTGCTGGCTGACAAGCCAAGGAATGAGATCACCAGATGGTCGCTGCCCTCGGCTCAGACTGTTAAGGACGCTCTGCCTGCTGATCTTTCCTTCTAGCGAAACCTGAATGACACACAGAGGCTCGGGTAGTCTGGAGCTGTCCTCTGAAACGGGAGGAACAAGAACGAAGAGCTCGTGTGCGGGGGCATCACTCATGAGTTGAAGGTCGTCTGGCGAGTTCTTGTAGTGACTAGCTACGTACAACGCAACCATTTGCTGAAGGAACTTCTCGGAGACAGGGTGGAAGGAGAATAAAGTATCTCGGTTGACGTTCAAGAGCTGACATTGTGTAGGGTCGGGGCATCCGTTGATATTCGACTTAGCCTTGGGCAGAGTCGCGTCGAGGCAGAGAACCGTGTTGAGCCACTTCTCAACAGCATCTCCCTGGGCATATCGAATAGGCTCAGACAAGGTAATCTCTCGCAGCTTTCGTCCCGCCTGAAACTCCTCGGTCTTTGAGGTCTTACCAGTTGATCGATCAGTGATCTCCATGCCCTCGCCAGCTGTGGTAGCAGTGCGCGACTGGTCTCGCAACTGTTTGATGAGCTTGAGAGAAAGAGACCGACCTGTACCCTCATAACCGTTGATGGTAGAAGCCATGAAGACAAGATAAGGGCCCATGAGCTTCTTCACAAGAGGCAGAGGAATAGCCGCAGCCTCATCGATAACCACCAACTCGGCCTGCCCTAACACGTGTGCATCTTGAGGTCGAATGTACTGAATGGTCTGTCTGTGCTGTCGGTGAATGTTGACTCGAACAATGGCCTTGTTGAAGTCGGGGTTTGTACTCTGAATAATAGAGTAATCGGCGTGGTCAGCATAGCCCAACTCGTCAAAACCCTTGAAGACAAACTCAAACAGAGTCTTCAAGTTCTCAGGCGAGGGGGAGGTAATAAAAATGTTGCTGTATCCATACGCAACAGCAGCTGCGACAGCGACACCCATAGCCGCAGACTTTCCACGACCACGAGCAGCGGTAAGAGTAACTGTGCTCCGTAGGGTTTTCTCAGCGATGGCATCTGTGAATGTGATAAGAGCCTTGGCCTGGTCAACAGTCTTGGCGAGAGAAATAAGAGGTCCTACGGGCTGTCGTCCCTCGTTCTGCTCCTTCATAGCCTCAAGCTCAATTTGCGACTCTGTCTTGGGATTGTCGAGGTCCGGAGGAGGAAGCTTCTTCACACCCTTTCCACCTGAGATAGGGAGAACGTTCATCTCGTCATCAATAACCAAGCAAGAGTTGCAGCTTCCCAGAGAGAGAATAAATCGCTCGTTGAAACGGGCCACTACATCGTCGTGGGCCTCTGTCCTATAACGCGAGTGGACATCCATTGACAGGCTGTAAAGCTGCTTCAAACTGTTCATGCCCTTGAGGAGCAAAACAACCAATCCACCACCCTCGACAGTTTCGATCGTTCGGGCGAGAATATTGGGGGTAATGGCCTCGAAGTCCTGGAGAATGCACATGCCGAAGGTCTGACCTAGGATCTTGTCGGTCTCCTTATAGTAGGTATATCGGATATTGTGTAGCGATACGAACAGCTCAAAGGGGTCCTCGGTATTGGCTTCTCGAATTCCTCGCTTGATCTCCTTCTTGATCTTTTGCTCGCGCTTCTTTCGGTGACTGCAAAGCTTGGGTTAGCTTTGTCGCATCAAGGAAAGAGATTGTCAAGATCTACTAACCTGGTGAAGCCCAAGAGCTTGTTCTTGTAAGCCCAGAGAACTGATTTGTTCTGCTTGATATCAAACTGGGACATGATATAATGCAGACGCACGATCACGTCCTTCGACCTGTCTCCCACCACGACGAAGAAGCTTCTCTTCTTTTCCTGCAGGCCATTTTGAATGAGCGCTGGAATGCGCGAGTCACTATAACGATGTCAGTTGAAGAGACTCAGGGCCACATAATAGTATTAACACTTACACCGCCTTGCGCTGCATCTTTTCAGGTTCTTCTTCAGATCAATTGTTCTGAAAATACGCTGGCGCAAATGCGATCTCGTTTTCGAGGTGGGACCCAGCGCCTCAAAAATCCAAAATTTTGGCGGTCGATAAGTTTCTGCCGGGCGGTGAACTTCGGTAAGATAGGTTGGAGTGGGGCCTCTACCGAACCAAGCTTGAGTCACTGAGAACTCCAGAGGCTGAATATAGTGGCGCTCAGTCTTTAAGAGGTTGTTTATAGTCTGAGGGACATGAATGTAAAATACCTTGGCCAATTTTGATTGACTTTGTAACTCACGAGATGTTTCTTTGACCCATTTGAGGCTTTCGATATGAGCTATATGACTCTTACCGCATTACTAACATATTCTTGACATATCAGTCACAACACATGAGCTTTTGATATCAAAATCGACGTTACTTGAACCTAAATTGCCTCTGTTTGAGGACCAACAGGTGAATTGTACAGCTATTTATACATGACTCGCGTATCTGAGACTGAGGTCATCACGGAAGATATCTCAACCATTTGGAAATGATGCTTGTTACTTGCGCGAGTCTATGGAAACATAAGAAAAGTCTCAAAGCGCAATGCCACAGCCCAAACTCAAAGTGAGAGATCTTCTTCTTCAATGCCCAGACACCACGAATGAAAAATGTCCTTCGATATGCCCCGTATGCGAGAGATCAAAATGAGGAACATGACTCCAACAACCAGGGAAATATGTACATTTGTCTAAGTTCGATCCAACTTGCGTCGCAGGACTCGTGTCCTCTTCATAAGCTTCTTGTACTTCTTCTTTTTCATCCTGAGCTTTCGTTGTCGTTTCACGCTGATGGCGTGCATGTCTCGGCGGCCCTGGGCCTCGTCGAACTTGAGCTGGCGAAGGGCCAGACGCTCGAGGAAGCTTCGCGGTTGGTTGTCCTGCACAATCTGAGGGCTGTGGGCCATGATACGGACTTGACCATCCGGATCGATGGACTCCTCGATGGTGAAAAGAGCCTTGTACATCCGGTGTTGGGGAACATCCTCGGCGGCTTCGATATCGGCAACGGCACTATCTGCCTGACCAGCAGCCTGGGGTTGAGGCAGAGGTGGAGGACGGAAAGGCAGGAATTCACCTGACATGGTGTCGATCTGGAGATACATGCTGGACTCGGTACCATCGGGGTTCTTGATATCAACCTTGTGCATTCCTTCCTGGCCCTCGTGTCCTCCACCAATGGTCATCTGAGCCATAGGCCCTTCCAACTGTTCGATAGCGCTGGAGAGAGTGGAATCTGTATCAGCCATCTTGTTGCTTCTGTTTCGGGAGGCAAAGATGGAGGCGAAGTGCTCATCGGAAACCGCTCGGGGCATGGTCTGGGTGACCGAGATGGGCCTGTGTAGTGAGAAGAAACTTGATAGCCCCAGAGCTGCGACAATTAGCAACCGTCCCTCCTATGAGCGATGTATATCCAAATCTTTACCTTCTTGTGACATGTGATGCGTGTTGGGAACGCTTGGCAACTTTCTGATGGAAGCCGCTCGATCGGAAGCATCCTTGCTGCTCTTTCGCTTTCGCTTCTCATTGCCAGACTTTGGTGATGTAGCAGCAGGCACCGACTGGCCAGCTGAGATCTCGTTGGCTCCGTTGTCAGATTTCGAAGGTTTTGAAGAAGAACATCGTCGCTGCTGATTTCGAACAAAGACGGGAGTGGTCTTTGAAGTGGCTGAGGCAAGGACGGAAACGACACCGGTCTGAGGGGTCGAGGAGACGGCTGAGGAGACGACTCGGCGCACAGAAGAAGGCAACATGATGTGCTACCAGGCGCAGAGGAGCCGCTGCGTGAGAGAGAGGAGGAGAGGGCGGGTTTGAGGGTCAGGATGAGTTCCTGATGTTGTTCGGTTCTATCTACAAAACCCGGATTTGGCCGCTTGGGAAAAGGCTGCGCTGCGATGGGCCAACGTACTGACGCTAACTATTTGTGGCCTAAGGCAGCGATAACGGCTTTGATGAGTTGAGGACATAAAAAGCATCACATTCAAAGATTGGGCAGAGAGCTAAAATATAAGAATCTACCGGTCGTATATTTCAGCAATTGTCTAGGTTCTTGACTATAAGCCAATAATACTGTCATCTTTCTCCTACTCTGTTTTTGGCTAAGCAAACCACTCATGTGACCCGTTCAAGCCAACTCATGAGACGTTCATGATCCAGTTTGTACCGTGCTTTTGTCTATCAGCCTATCACTGTCCTAAACATGGAACATACCCCAACCAATGCACCCAGTTTCATCACGGGGCTTCTCCGCAGTTTCGACAGGGCAGCATCTACAGTGACTCAAAATGGCGGAGACCGAAAGCTACAGCGGCTATCATGGCCTTTACCCCTCTGAGTTCGATCAACTTCCGATGGACAACTCGGAGATCGATTGCCGCTTTCTCATGAGTCTTGGCAGTCCACCTCGTGCTCGTAAGATAACTCGAATCAGATCCAATGTTCAAAGTCAAATGGGTGGCCATACGGTTTGAGTGGCTTATTATGCAGGGGTTCAGTGTCTATCGAAACATGATACAGATCCAGTGAGATTCCTGTTTGTGTTCTCATTTCCTCATCACCATATACTTCCCCGACTCATGAAGCAAATCCAGATGATTCTCGAAAGAAACATCAATCCATCGTGAATACAGAAACACTTCTAAATCTATGTGAAAAGAACTGGCAGGTAATCTGCGAAGCATGAGGTGTTTCTTACTGGGAGTTGACCCAGCTCAGGTAAGAGTTCCAGCCAATCGCTATGATATTGGCAAAGAACAGACGGTATTGCAAGGGAATGAGGGAGAAGTTGATGACCTGGACGGCAGGCCAGAGCATCCAGTTGGCCTTCAGGGCTGGCCACCAGGCCTTGTCGATTCGTTCCTGTGCACTCTTCCCCTCCATTGTGGCCATACTGCCAAGGAATACACCTATCATGACAGGTGCAAAACCAAGCTGATCGCAGGCGACCCGAGTGAGGACTTCCGCCTTCTTGTTCCCTGGCACGTTGACCCTGCGTGCGAGGAAAGCGAACCATGTTGTAGCAACCGGACCGAACACAACTGCGAAATGTCAACGATTGTCGAGCTGTTGGGCTCAAGAGTGGAGGAACCTACAGCCACCGTAGAGAGCCATTCGACCTGTTCGGACTAGGTCATGCTTCTCAACGCCTTTCTTTTCAACGAGCTGCTGAGCTGTGACATCGCCTGTAGCAAAGAGAAATGCAGTGGTCACACTCTGAGTGAGCAGTGGACGCGCAGCCAACCTGGCGTTGTACCTGATCATATATCAGCAGGGAGTTACTGATTGATAAAGCCTTTTCGACTGACCAACGAATGAAAGAAGCCATGGCTGCTTTCAGGAACTGGTTTGGACGGAGTCGAAGTTTAATAGTCCTTCGGAGTAAAGATTCTCGAAACCCCGGGAATGTTGGTAACAAGCCACAACGTTGAATGGAGAAGATAGTGCGTGCTTGGTTTGGGCGAGTCGAGCTAGTAGAACAACTGGTTGTAGAAAAAGAAAGGTTCAGGGTTTAGGAGGACTGAGAAATGAAAGCAGATTTCTTATGAAAGATGGTTTTCATAAACAAAGCAGAGAAACTCAATGCTAAGCAAATGCGCGTTAAAATTACAGCTTCAGATTCAAGAAAAGGTAATCGAAGCTATAGCGGGCATGACGTAGCATTAGCAAATGCGCTGTGATAGAGGTTGGCTCGTGGTATTTAGCCTCAAACTCACAACCACCATCAGAAGCTGGATCGCGACTTGCCCGGGGCTCCAGACTTTTTGTGTCCCACTGCGGGAGCTGGCGATCTTCGAGGGGCACGCTCCGATAAGGACGCAGTGGGGGTTACATGCACACCGATAGCTGATTGTGGAATGATGTCTCGTAATTTATCGCTATAACGGTATATATATGCATGGGCTTGCTGTCGCGCGATGACAGGAAATGCGGAGCTGCCAGTTGAGGTCAAGGTTACCCCAAGATGCTAGGATATAGCCTGGCACCTGGAGAAAGAGGCTTGATATAATAAATGAAGATCCGATTGAGTTATCGCTGATTGGACTCGAAGAGTCTGAGGGGCCTAGAGCCACGGTGGAGAATGCACTTGGATATATCACAGGTCTGTATACGACAACATTGCTCGACGAGTCTGTGGTCTGCATAAGGTTGAATCCAGAGCCCCCGTTGAAAGTCGAAATGTCTTAGTATTGCTAATTACACTTGATAAAAGGTGTTCAACTAATGCTGGTCACTAATATCGTTGGGATACGGTGCCATTCTAGAATCGAATCTGATACAGTCTAGCTGATACCACAACGCCAGTCTGCTCATCTGACCCAGCTGATATATCCCAGCCTCTAAGAATATTCCGCCATTCATGCATCATGAGGCGCCCCATGGAGACGCAGGTTCATCTCGCGATGGAGGGGTATTTGTCCTGTTCCTACGATTATTCTTCTTCCTGACATCAACAACCTCCGGCTGCGCCTCGGCCTCCTGCGCAGCACTCTCAGCACGTTGTAGCGTCTCTTCGGTCTCGTCATCGTGATACATGTCCTCTTCATCCACAAATAACGCCGAATAATCTCCATCTCGTCGCTCTCGTAGGCGATCAAGCCATGGTAGCTCTGGAAAGTCTGGGCGTAGTCGGTGGTCACAATGTGGGCAGTCAGGAGGTAGAGTGCGCCAAACGAGCCATTGTATGATACTATGGACAGCAAGACCCGTGTAGAATGACTCCAGAGCGATAATAAGATGAATGACACTGAAATAGTTGTTAGTTTGTATGCAAGGCAATGAACTTCTGAATGTGGGACTCTGACAAGTTGACAAGAAGGGGAATAGTGGCATAAGCTGCCAGCATACTCAACGACGCCAACTGGTCATTCGAAATCCATGTAAAGACCAACACAATCATACAAGCTGCCGCTAGTACCACATCAAAAGCAAAGGCCACCACAGGATGTGAGAGCTTGCGCACAAGTCCATCGTCTCGTTCTCGTCAGCGAAGGAGGAACAAGCTCCCCCCAGAAGAAAAAGCAAGCGGAACCAGACCGACCGCAGGAGCTGCGTCGTTTGACAGAACTCCGTGAGCAATACAGAGGGGAAATGCGGGGAGAAATGAGGCGATCGCGACTAAGCGAAGAGTCCTGTGCGAAGCAGGCAGCTGGTGGTGAGCCGTGGAATCAGCTTCTGAAGGGGTGTCACTGGGCATTTCGAGATGATTTATGATGAACAAAGAGACTCGGTTGCACAAGGAGAGACGAGCCAAATTACTCTTGTAAGAAGATGAATCATATCTGTGGTAGTATTTATAAAGCGGCAGGTAGGGACTCGTGATTAGACCCTTGTAAGTGAGGCCTGGCACTATCAGGTGGCCTGACCAATGGTGAAAGGACAAAAGATAGCATAGCTGCTTGAGCGTAGCAATTCGTTCCTCCAAGCCTAACTGTAGCAGACCTTCAGTAAAGTCAACACAGAGTATTGTTATTCAAGAACAAGAAATAGTGTTATCAACAGATTCATGCTCTAAGTCTCCCTTGTCATCCTGGAAAACGAACGACATGCTATCAAGTCAGATACACATTGGGACTTGATTACACCTAGGAGGGCTGAGACTTCAACTGTTCACTTTTTCAAGAATAATAGGATTTAATGATAAATCATTGCTATCATTACGGCATTGCTGTGCACGTCCAAACAACATAAGCATCATACAACTCAGCAATCCCTTCAACTGTCCAGCCGTGTCGTCGATGAAACCCTGGTTTTAACCACCCCTAAGCCCCAACATCCCGTCTGAGAACGAGTACAAGCAAATAAGAGATACCCCCAAAACGCCTATAGAGAACCCTATGTATATAGCACTCTCCTTAGGTATCATGCTTCCCCGCAGTAAATTTGCGACAGGAGCTCAACGGAGAGTAAAGAAAGCCATAGCATACCAAGTGCTTGTCAAGAAAGAGAAGAAAAGATGAAGGACACTCAAGAACTCTTAGTCTTCTTGCGACCCGACTTCTTAGGCTCCTCCTGGGGTTCGGCAGCGGCAGCCTTGGTAGATGTGCGTCGTCGCTTCTTGTCAGGGCTAGCGGGGGCAGGCTTGGCTTCCTCAGCGGCGGCAGCAGGTGTGGCTGTCTTGCGCTTACGGCCGCCAGTGGCCTTCTTAGGCGTCTTAGCAGGGGTCTCAGCCTGCTCAGGCTCGTCAATAGCGGGAGCCGCAGCCACAGCTTGGAGCTGTTCAGCAATGGCATCCTGATCGTCGGCAGGTGCTTCGTTCTGAGCAGCGTCCTTGATCTCAGACATGGGGACGTTGAAGTCCTCGGCGTACTTCAAGGCCTCCTCATCAGTCATGTTCTTGGCCAGAGGGTTACCGTGCTTGTAAGAATGAACACGGGCATTGTACAAACGGAGGTTGTACTGGTAAGCATTGTTCCAGCCCTGTGACAAAGTTAGTGAACTCCAAGTCAATATTCAACGTAGAGCGGCTTACCTGTTTCTCTTGGGGACCCATGTGAGCCCAACGACGTTGGCCCTCCTCTTGAACGGCACCCTTGGGGGCCTCAGAACCAAGGTCATTAGCGATGATGGATCGAGCATGCTGCATGTAGAGGAAGTAAGGAGTCAAAGGTCGCTTGGGCGCGTTAGGATCAATGGTTCGCTTCTTGCGCTCCTTCTTCTCCTCGACAGGAGGAGCCAGCTCAGGAATGGGCATAATCAGCTGTTGAGCGGCATGCTCGAAGTTGGCGAGGAGGTTGTCCTGCGAGCCTTCGGCAGTGGGCTCACCAAGCAAAAGATTTGTCTGGCGAACATAGTCGGCAGTGAAAGATCGGAGAAGCTCAAGAATAGTAGTCAATCGCCCAACAGCCTGCAAGGTAATGTTAGTAATGTGTCTGTCTTGTGTTTCTCGAGGACTAGAAGTGACAGTGATGAAAGGTCGAGTGTAAGTGGGTGGGGAGCTTGAGTGGATACAAGGTCGCGGTGGCCATAGCTCTTTAGACTTTGTGAAGACATTGACTTGTCAACAACCAAGTCAGAGCGCGTCCCTGGTTTGTAAAGGCATAGCGCAGTATGAAGCAAAGCCGACTGATAAGGAAGTGAATCTCCCCTGATGGTCTGGTTATGGCCTTAATACTGCGACCGCTCCATGTGTCCCGTTCTGCCAGAAGCCATGGAAGACTACCGGTTTGACAAGAGATGTGCCGTGGTATGGGTGGGGGGTGGCTGGTACCTGGGTCGTAGTGTTCGACCGAGGACGAAAGACACGAAATACAAGATGAAATGGTGTGAACCTACCGAATCTCTCACGCGCAGAAAGCTATCTGCCTCAACGACGCGTTGAGGCATAACAGCCTGAGGTTGAGGAACTCCAACAGGAGGAGGCATGGGCATGGGCATCGCAGGCTGAGGAACAGCGGCAATGGGCTGCGGGTGCTGAGGGTATTGCTGAATGTGCTGAGGAGGGATAGGAACGGGAGCAGGCTGTTGCTGCTGCTGTTGCTTCTCAACAACTTGCTTCTTGGGGCGAGCCATGATGATTCTGGTGATGATATTGGGGATAATGGGTAATGTTGTTTTTTGAGCTTCTGGTGCTTTTCACCTGAAGTTTTGCGCTGACGATTTGATGGGACGCGTTCAATGAGTAGCGGGACGCGATGCGCTGTTCTGTTATTACAATGGAGTGTCAAAGCGTGCAAATCCAGGTAGTTTTTGGTGCGTTGAGGGGAATGGAAATCCAGTGATTCACTGAGAAGTGCTGGAAAATGAGGGTGCTGAGAGTACTGAAGAACGGGGGAAAAAGAGAAAACGGGCGCGGGGTGGGCGATGCGCTGAATATGTAGGGGCCAGCACCAAGCGCAATCAGTAAATGGTTCTCCAGGCGGGGGCGCAAAAAAAATGGCAGCGCCTAATAAAAATAAAATCAGCGCCCGCCTTCCTACCCGAAAAAAAGGGAAAAGCTGCAGCAGGCGCGCATTCTTAGTGGCCAACCACTCGAGTGATCCTCCAAGTCCAGCCAGCACCCGGAGCACAATGGCGAAAATTTCATCACCTCAGGGCGGGGGCCTTGAAAACGGGGCTCGAGGGGATCGAAGTCGATTTTCTCTTGGGACTATAGCAGCACCCACGGGCTGTCCACGATATTCCCGCGGCACCCGATACCTCTGAAGCTCAGTGCCCTCTTGCACCTCTCAGTAGCCTCACCAGACCCCCTCCCCCAAGGAGTCGCCTACCTCCCCGTACTTCCCACTCTCGTTCAAAATAAGGCAACCCAGCCCATCCACGCCTTCTATTACTAAGGGTATAATGACCACCACTGTAGCACCTGCCTAATAATTGCAACAGCAGATGCAAGTGCCAGCACTATAGGACAGAATGCAAGAGCGATTCAACACAACTGAACAACATCGGTGCCTTACTCGTGACAAGCCTCCATGACTGAACCCAAACGCTCCAAGTTGGGATCTTTTCGCGTACATCACTCTTCTCTCACTCATACAGAAACCAAAACACAGCAAACGCAAGCCCCCGACGCGCAAACGTTAACAAGGCCAGATGAACTTTTGCGCGGGCAGCGCTGACTGGTCAATCAGCCAGTCGCAGCGAAGGAACAAATTGCCCGCCCGCGCTCAGTCGTGCAGCCTTTTGGGTGCTACTGATGCAAGTGCGGAATTCACAATGTTGTATGTATCGCGACTGTACTCGTCTAATATTTTTCAGTATTGGGCTTCAGAATTAAGGAAGCTCCCTAGGTATTTCCTTCGTTGAGGGTATTGTCATTGTGATACTACAGGTGTTGGCTGCTTGTGCATCGTAAATTCGTTGTCAATTTCGACTTACACCTGCGTTGAGGGCCCTCGCAAGTGCAATCCTTAGAGCTGTGATATTTCAGCGATACCAACGAAGGACTCCTTCAGCGGCTTTTCTAGCGCTTTACGTGACCCCTTCTCAGGGCATCCTGAAGCGATGTGTCACTGTCACACCCTACGGAGTGTGTTGCTCTCCACTCACCGCTTCTCAAAACCCAATCCGAGGGTGCCGTCACTGGAAAGCTGCTGAGGATGCTGGACGTATGTCCAGGCGGGGTCATTCCAGCACCTTCACCCTTGACCTGTATATTTCAGCACGGTGCACCCAGGGGCACATGGATGGAATGACGACCACTACCACGGGCGGCTCAAGGTTCGAGCCTCTTTTTCAGGCACTTGGCGCCCCCCCAACGTCTCGCTGTGCGACAGAACCTTTGCAACTCTCAGAAGAGCCCAACCCCAACCGGGCCACAGTCTTCCCATTCTGCCTAAGTCACCTGAAGCAGGGAGGTTTATTGTTTGCTCCCGTCAAGTCCCATCTTGTGCCCTGAGCTTTCTGTTCTGGGTTGTAATGTCATTGTTGGTCAGAGTGCTGAGTTTCGGGTTTCAACAGGAGGGCTTCAGCACATCCAGGCAAGTTTACCTTCAGTGCTCTCTATTTCCACATCATAGCCCAGTATTTTCGCCTTACAGCGCGGTCATGAGAGTCCCGAAGCCACCATCAGACGATTTCAGTAGCAGCGAGCATCCTGTGAAGAGAACTGGCATGCTAGCCAGCCTTTACCTGTAGTTTCCAATCTTCCAAATACGTGTAGCGTCAGATTCTCATCCACCTGGACGCTGATAAGACTACATTGCGTAGTGCCATAAACACTTATTAGACTTCTACTGTACTCTCGTCACTGGAATACAACGATAACTGAGATGCGAAACAACCATCTCATCACGTTGCTTTTCATCACTTAGTATTTCATTCACTGTCTGGGTCTCTTAAGCCCCAGAGGGAAACACCTTGATGGTTCTAATCTACTCTTATGATATCGTGTAAACTCTTTTACCTTGACAGACGCCTCGACCCCGCACAGCCATAGATTGTATATAAAGGCATAGGCATGACATGTCTTTACCGAAAGGGCCTTTCCTTAAGACTGATCCCGTTGTTCACATGGCGGCCCATACCGCCAGTAGCCCCATGTTCATTCAGAATATTGTATTGTTGCCCGACTACACCAAACATTCTATGAGCATAACCAAACGGTGATTAGCACATCAAACGCGAGCAAACGCGATGGCTTTTGTGTCCCGAGTCAACAACACACGTCGAGGCGAAGTTCATTCTTCATGCGCATAGTACTGAAATTTGGCAGTGAGGCCATTGCTTAGCACGTCTCCCGCGTCTTATCAAACAGTTATACTTGTGTCTGGTGTCTATCGCCGATAGAAGCCACTGTTTCCTCTTGTCGCATCTACGTCTAGCAACCAGACGCGATGAGGGGTAGAACGGCCCCTCTATGTCACCGAAAGAAAACCAGCAGATGGCTTGACTGGATCCTTGATATATGTGCTATGGCAAGGTAAGTATCGGATCTTCAAAAGATGGTCATTATATCCAACAAGAGCCTTTCTGATGTATCCTGATCAAGCTACGTTTGGCTTATCTCAACCGTTACCGGTTCGAAAGCTAATGTTTGATCAGTGATCAACTACGTTATTCCTTCAGCCACGCGCCCTCTTAAGCTTGATTCGACGACAGTCCATGGTCCCGTCGGCTCGTGTTACAGACCCCTGCTACTGATGAGAATGGAGGGGTGAGGTACTTGATTTTGCGTGATGATCACACTCAATGGCAATGTACTGGACCCCTGTCACAGCTTGCAAAAGCTCCCCCCCAGCTCCTCTACCCCTCGATGATTCTCTGACAAAAGTTGCGGGCCCTGGGCGCGTATGATTTCATGCTTGGCATGATGAAGCAGACCAGACCAGACCAGACCAGACCATCCTCCCACTGCCGACCATGCCCAGCGGATCGCCGGGAACAACTGGACTTAGCAGGATCAAAGCTGCTATCGTCAGATCGAGTGAGCTTGGCATGAAGCAGGCCAGCTCGGGAGGGAGCCCACTACCGTCCGTCCGTCTCACCATTCTGCTGTGTTAGCGCTGGACATGTGCAATGGAGTGAGGTGTGGTGGTGGCTTGACTTGTCTTGTTAAGCTTGTCTTGGTCTCGTCCAAGGTTGCAACGCAATTGGTACGTATCCATGGAAATAGCGTAGGCAAATAAGGTCATGTCTACCTAGTGTTTCGTTTCTGCTGGTTTGCCCTAGACTCCCACTGTCCGTTGCTGTTATTATGGAGAGCACGGGCTTCTTTTATTCGGCTGCCAGCTGAAGCTGCGTCACTTGGAGGCCCGGCCAGACTGAGGTTGCCCCCCAGCTCCCCTCCTCCACCTTTAAGCATAAGACAAGGTAAAGCACCTTAGATCCCTACTAATCTTCCACCATCTCCCTGTTTTTTCCCTTCTCCTCCTCCTTCAGAACGACCATCCCCCGATCCTCATTCTTTTCCTGTCTTCAAACTGCCCCAAGATAATATCGTGTTCCCCTCTGCTAGCTCAGAAGGGGTTCTTTTCTTTCCTATCCTTGCAGCACAACTAGCTGACATCCTGGGACACTCCCAGCTTGAGGACGTGAACCACAGTCATGTCCACCTTCAGATCTCACAGCCTCCTGGTGGGGCTTGTTATCCTCGTTGCTCTGGCTTCTCCAGCCCTTGCCTTTGGTGCTGGTAACATTGCTTCAATCTCCAAGGTCGAAGGCCAAAACTGTGAGTGATCATAACCACGACCAAACGCTGTCCGTCCAGCAGTGGCTAATCAAGCTCTCTTCCAGGGCGTCACGGCGATATCACCGATGCACTCTTGATCCTTTCGCAGGCTAAGGCCCTCAATGGCAAGAAGTTCAACAAGATCAACGTTTCGCGAGTTTACTTTGGAAACTGGCTTCGGGATTACTCTCAGGCCATCGATGTCGGTACTGTAAAGTCAGTCTCTGCTGAGGCCATCCGTCTTCTACTCTGTGTCCTCGGTTTCATGACCTTCGGCTACGGCTCTGGAGAGTTCGAGGTCACAGCTGAGCGCCTGGGATGCTACCGCCCTGAGGACCACATCGACAACCCCAAGGACTACGCCGAGAATGTCGATGCCCGCCAGTATGATGAACGCCTCCGTGGGCCAGTCGACGAGGATCGAGAACTGGCTATCGACCCTGAGACAGGAATGAAGAACTACATTGCGAACGAGCGTGCACGTATCATGACCTCCGCTAAGCACGTCAAGAAGCTCTTTACTGGTACTATCGAGCTTGGTCGTCGATACAAGGACTCTCAGCGTAAGGCAGACAAGTATGAGGCTCTCCGACTCATGGGAACTGGACTACACTGCTTGGAAGGTTTGTCATCCCGATTTCTCAAGCTAGTTGGCTTGTTTCTAGGGTCATATAAAGCTAACTTGTCTGCAGATTTCTTTGCCCACAGTAACTACTGTGAGCTGGCCCTCATTGAGCTCGGCGAGCGTGATGTCTTCCCCCACGTTGGTCGTAACACACAGATCGAGATTGAGGGTGCCCGTGGTCCCGTCTATCCTATTGTCACTGGCACCTTTGGTGGTGTTGACTTCTTGCACTCAGTCACTGGTGAAGGTTGGTTCTAATGCTCCATATGAACGAGAGGA